GAGTGAGCATGTGTCCCATCTCCAGAGAGCTATTTATCTCCTTAGTGCCTTCAAATGAGGTCATCAAGCTGCAACCGGATTGACAGACTAAACTCCACCCTTTCACTCTTAAATCTCAATCTGACAACAGATTATCTAACTGCTACAAGCACTATGACATATATTTGAGTGATTATTTGATTCACTTCTGGTTCCCCCATAGACTGGCATCTTCAAGAGGGTGGGAAAATGCCTACTGATTCATTTGTAAGACCTCTCATTGTCATGGAGCAATACTGACACATAGTGACCCCGTGGTGGGCTTCGTAGGCCGTCACTATTTATAGGAGTAGAAAGCCCTGCCTTTCTCCTGCTATTAAGGCCAATGCCCAATAAAGAACTAGATATATAAATATGGGTTGAATCATTGACTAAGGATATTTTCAGTGAATGGGTAAGTTGAGAAGCAGTGGGACAGAATTGCCCCCTTTTTTAACTTCGTCAATAGTTACATGTATGGACCCATGGTGGTGCTGTGGCACAGGTGTTGGGCTGCTAACCATGGCAGAGAGGTGAAGGCATTGTGCTTCTGTAAAGACTTACAGTCTCTGAAATCCTATATCGGGTCCCTAAGGATTAGAGTGGGTTAGGTAGCACTAGGGATAGTTATACTTGAAGGAGCCTTAGTAGTGCCACTGGGTAAATACTGGACTACAGAATGCAATGTTAGAGGTTCAAACCATCCAACTGCCCCAAGGGAGAAAGATGAGGTTATCTGTTGCCCTAAAGACTTACAGCCTCAAACTCCTATATACTGTTACTAAGAAGCACAATCAACTTGATAGAAGTGTTTTTTCTTGGTTTTTATTTTGTTTTGTTTTGTACTGGGTTTGCCTTTCATGGAGACAGACTAGCAAAATACAACGGCTTTGCCTTCAAACTCAGGTTTGAACTTCAGTCCTACTACATAGTCTCTGTCAGACCTTAGAAAATATTCTTACTCTCTCTTCCCTGGAGTCGTATACATAATGTGAAAAAGTCTCTGCTTTGTCTTGCTGTGAAGGAAGTGTACCTCCAAATTGTTGATCCAGTGCCCAGCACACTGTGAGTCATCATTATATGTTCATTTTATTCATCCCCCAACCCCTCCATACCCTTAAAGCTCCCCGGAATTTACCAGAACCGTCTGTTCTGACTCAAAGTGCACCCTGTGTACAACAGGACGAAGCATTGCCTGCTCCTGCACCATCCTCAGAAGGGTTCTTATGTTTGAGTCCATTTTGACAGCTTCTGTGTCCATTCATCTCCCTGAGATAACTTCCTCTTTCACTCCCCTTCTACATTGCCAAGCATGATGTCCTTCTGCAGGAACTAGTCTCTCCTGACAACATGTCGAAAGTATCTAAGGAAGTCTCGCCCTCCTTTCCTCTAAGGAGCATTCTGGTTGTCCTTCCTCCAAGATAAATCAGTTTGTTCCCTTGGCTATCCATGGTACTGTCATTATTCTTCACGAGCACCATATGTAAAATGCATGATTTCTTCTTCCGTCTTTCTTGTTCAGTAGCCAACATTCACCTACATATGTGAAAGTAGCAGGGCTTGAGTCCAGCGTACCTGAGTTATCAATTTTCTCTCGCTAACTTTTAGTGATTGTTGCATAAATTTGATGAACAGTTGTGTCTATTGAACTTCTTTGAAGGCAGATAGATCTAATCCTATCACAGATAGCATTGTATTTCAGGATAGATCTTGAAATGTCTTTTGATAATGAATGCAAAGCCATTCCTCTCAACCTGTGGGTCGCGACCCCTTTGGGAGACCTAACGACCATTTCACAGTAGCAAAATTACAGTGATGAAGTACCTGCACTTGAGGCACGGCATTAAAGGGTGGTGACATTAGAAAGGCTGAGAGCCACTGTTCTAGATTGTGTGGCGCGCAGATAGTAAGCCCTATGATTTTCTGATTCAAAATGGCCAGGAGCAGTCCCTTTCACCTCATGAACCCCCAAATATGGATCTTTAAGTGTTCCATTGCATTTTTGCAGAATCCCAACTTCTTAGATTCATACTCCCTACACTCTGATTGTTAATAGATTTCCACAGCTCATTTTTTCTGATTGTGAGTGTTGCCCCACTAACAAGTGAAGGTTCCACAGGCTTATTCCCACAGGCTTGTCTCTGTGCACGTCATTATAGTCAGCTCTGCTTGGAGAAGGCCACTCTTTCTCAGGTATATATTTTTTTCTTTTTTCTTTATTTAGTTA